ACCATCCCTTTTAATTTTCTGATCATACATATGCTGTATGATATCTATTATACCACTTCTTAGCTGTAGGTCATCAGTGAAAATATACCATAGTCTACCTATGCCCAACATATTTCTTCTCATTGTCCTTTAGACCATCTGAAATTCTGATGACAGTATAAATACAGTTAACTAAAATACCTGGCATCCTATGTTTACATGATTTGCTGGTTGTGTCACTGGTAGGTCTTGAACGTAGGTCCTTCTGGCTTCAAGGGCTTTTCTTTATCCACTAGGCAACACTCCCTCTCTAAGTGTACGAGAGAGCTGCAAAAAGAGAGTGATCTCTAAGATCTAAGAAGAAGGGACCTATAGATTTGGGGGATCATGGATGGCTTTGTAGAGGAGCTAACATTTGAATTAGGCTTTAAATGATGTGTAAGAATTCACCAGATCGTGATAGGAGAGGATGGACCTTCCAGGCATACAGAATTATATGACCAAAAAAAAAAAAGAGGAGGAAAGGCTGTCTTTTTTTATTTCTTTCTTTTTTTTTTTTTGGTGAGGCAATCAGGGTTAAGTGACTTGCCCAGGGTCACACAGCTAGTGAGTATCATGTGTCTGAGGCTGGATTTGAACTCAGGTCCTTCTGACTGTGCCACCTACCTCCTGGAAAGGCTGTTTGTCTTGAAAGTATATGGAATAGTAATATAAGTTAAGGCTGAAAAGTTGTGATGGCACAACCTTATGGAAAGCCTTTGGAAGTAAAACTAAAACTCTGAAAGTTTTTGGGCAAGGGAGTGACTTGGCCAGATCTATGCTTAAGAAGATGATTCTGTCAATAGTATGAAGGGTAGAAGGGAAGCAGAAGAGAGTAGAACAGGAAACCTATTAGGAATCTATTGCAGCAGTCCAGGAAAATGGTAATTAAGACTTGATTGATATAAGAGATGTGATGGAGTAGAATTAACATGACTTATGGAACTGTGGTACAAAAGGAAGAGTTAAAAATAACCCCAAGATTGCAAACATGGGAGATTGGGTGAATAGTGGTGGAAAGAAATACTGCAGTCAGAAAGAGTATTAAGTTTAGGGAAAAGCTGATGGAGTTGGTTTTGGACAAGTTGAGTTTGAAGTACTACTGGGACACCATGATACACCGTGATAGACAGGTATAGGATACCTGTCTAATGCCCACAAGAGAAAGTTAGACCTAGAAGAAAAAAGTATGTAAGTCATCTTCCGTGGAGATGTTAGATGAAATATTGTGAGAAATGAGCCTGATGAGGAAAAGGGTACAGAGAAATAAAAAGACAACCAGCGATACATATTGAGAAATACATGTTGAAAGGTTAGAAGGAGGTTAGCAGTGAAAGAGACAGAGGAGTGGTCAGAGATGGTAGAGAAAAACAAGGAGATAAGGAAGGAGAGGATACTGAGTAGGAGGAGGTAGGTGTCAGTAGTGTCAAAAACTGAACAGATAGCAAACAGCATTTTTCAACTTGAAGCCTACATCTGAAAAAAAGGCCGGTAGGTTTGGTTATTATGAGATCATTGGTGTCCTTTGGAAAAAAAAAAAGCAATTTCATAAGTGCTGTGTGGGTAGAAGCTGGCTTGCAAAGAACTAAGAAAACAGTGAGTGACAGGGAAGTACCAAGTACAGCCATTTTTTTCCCCAAGAAGTTGAACAGTGAAGGAGAAGAGAGAAATGAGATTAGATGGATCCAAGAAGGATCAAAAAAAAGATTACAGAGAGAGAACGATATTTGTAGGAAGATGGAAAGGGAGAGGTTGAAATTATATGAAAGATAAGGGATGAGTGCTGAAGTGAGATCAAAAAGAGGCGGGTAGAAATAGAATCAAAGCTTCAGGTAGAGGGATGTACCAAAGTAAGGAGTAGCAGTATTCTTTTCTGCATCTGAGGTAGAGGAAGAGAGATAGATTTGGTGCTGTGAAGGTTCAAAACAGGGAAGAGAAGGTCACTGGATGATGGCCTTACTCTCTGTGAAGTAGAAAGCAAGGTTTTTGCCTAAGGGTAGGAGGAGAATGAATGGATGAAAAAAGTATTTATTAAATGCTTATTATGTAAATAATTACCAAGCTAAGTAAATGCTGATGATCCAAGTAAAAAGTAAGATAGCCCTTGCTCTCAAAGAAGCTCACAAAGGAGAGGAGTGAGAAGAGAATGGGAATTGTGGAAGATGAGATAGGGAGTCCATTAGAGCAAAGTAGAGGGATTGGTGAATACTAGCAAGGTCCAGATGAGATTATGAGACAAGATATTTGTAATGTAAAGTAAGCTTAGTTTCAGGATTTTCTCTGTCAATGATCTACTGTAGTCCCCAAAACAGGAACAGAGAAATCAAATGTTGGGGCTTACTCAGGGATGGGGATTTGCTACTCTGGAAGAGCAGAAGGCCAGAGGGGCAGGGGTCCATAGGGTAGCAGCTAATAAAGCTTAAAGTGTTAGCCCTACTATGTGCCAGGCACTGTGTTAAGTGCTTTACAGATATTCTCATTTAATCCTTACAACAATCTTGGGAGGTAGGTGCTATTATTTCCCCCATTTTATAGATAAGGAAACTGAGGCAAGTAGAGGGTTAGTGACTTGCCCCAGGTTCACACAAGTAATAAGTGTCTGAGGCTGGATTTGAACTCAGGTCTTCCTGACTCTAAGCCCGTCACTCTATCCATTGTGCCACCTAGCCACCTCAAGGTAGTACTTTGATGCTTATAGGTGGACTTTAATAAGTAGATCAGTAGCAGAATTAATCACAGGCTTGTTGTGAGAATCAAATGTGTTAATATTTGTAAAGCACTCTGCAACCTTAAAATGCTACATAAATGCTACCTAAGATAATGACAACAAAGATGTTCTCAATACTCTAGTGTCTAGTTAAACTAGATTACTTGACAGACTGCTCCACATGCTCCACAATTTTCTTCTCCAGCCCTTAGCATAGTGTTCTACACAAGGCAATTGTTCAATAGATGGTTGTTGCATTTGCTCAGAAGATGTTCCTCCTAAGAATACCTATGGTACACACAGTAGGGGAACCAATGAAGGAGTGGAGGGTTCAGAGTTGGGCCTTCCTGTGAGGCTGGAGTATCTTTTGGAGTGGGGTCTGGATCTATGATTTCATCTCCATTTATGGAATGCAAAGTATAGAAACTTCCTCCACTAATGCCAATTGGCAACTCATCTGTAATTTGTAATCTTAGAGAATTGCTGGGGGTATTGAGAAGTTAAGTGACTCATCCATGGCCACACAGGTAGTATATGCCAAAGGTTGGATATTGATACCAGTTCTTCATCATAATCCACAAGCATTTATTAAGCACTATGTGCCAGATAACTCTAAGGCTAGCCCTCTACCTACTACATCATGCTGCTTCTTGATTCATGGCTTTAAAAAGGAAAAAAAATGCCTCCAAAAGAATTAATAGGCTTTGTGGTAGTTTACAGGAAGAAGGGGGAAGGAAGTAGTAAATCTGAGCTCTTGAATAAACCATTGAGCAAGTATTTCTTGAATCCTTATTGTGTGCTAGTCTGGGGCTAGGCACCATAAGCAATTTCACTTTCTTTCTTCTCCTGAAGAGAAAATAAAAAGGAAATATGTTGGTTTGTGCATCTGTAGATGCACAAAATATTTCCTTCCCTCCCCCACCTTATTTCTCTTTTATAGCTAAACTATAATTGAAATAGCATTAGAAATGCTGGTATTTTAGCCCTTCTCTGCAAAACGAGATGCTACCAGTTTCCCCTTAATGGTGAGCAGCCAGTTTTCTGAACTTTAGCTATGACAATGGGGTAGCTTAGGACAGGTGACTAGTTTATATATGTGTGTGTGTGTGTGTGTGTATACATATAGTTTTATATATGTATATATACTAGTTTATATATTAATGTATATTATACATATATTATACACACACACACACACATACATGTGTGTGTGTGTGTGTGTGTGTGTATATATATATATACACATAATCGCTAATATAGTGTCACCTCTGAGAAATTTGTTGCCAAGATATCCAACTCCTGCTTTCCCTCAATGGCAGTAATACTGTATTTCACTGCATAATCATCGCCACCACATAATCTTTGCATCCTGTTTTTTTGGGTACAAAATTGGTTCATGACTTCTCATCATGTAATTGTTGCATGGCATAATTCTGTTTGTCACGGCTTAAAAGGTAAACAAAGCAGCAATGTATTCACCAGTGGCTTATGGATATGCATTTATTTCTTCCCACATTGTGAGCCACAAGCCTAGAATTCTCAGCACACACGCATTGTCAGTATGTTTCTGAAAGTCAACTTGTGTGGTTTGTTTAGAGCACTGAAGTACTAATGGTATTGTCATTCAACCCAAGGAAGAGTCATAGGCACAAGGGGAGTAGGTGGGCAGGAGAAGCTGCCATGAGTAAGTCATGTGAGGTCTTGAGACTTGAGTCTTCCCGCACTAGCTAAACTGTATAGTTCATTTGCCAGCAATACAGTTTAATAATACATGATTTTTAAGTAATACCAGCCCCAAAAGGGCTTTCCCCATATGTGTGTACATGCTGCTTTTGATTTCCTTTTAGGGTAGGAGGATAGAGTTTCCAAGGAGAAGGTATAAAGAATCAAGAATTCTCAACTATAGAGATAGTATAGAAAGCAAAAGGAAGAGGGCCAGAGATAGACTCTTAGGGAATCTTTTCTGAATCATCCTTGGGGATTTTAATATTCATGTTGTTTATCTTTTCAGCACATCTCTACATAATTTCTAAAACTCATTAACTCCAATGACTTCCAGCACAATTCAGTTAACATGGTCACATGTTAACTCACTTTCTCGTGGATCTTGGGTTGGATACCCAAAAGACAATGACTTCTCCTAATGATTCTAAGGGTTTCCCTGGGAGTTGGGGATTTTCTAGGACATTTGTTCATGAGCCCCTCAAAACCAATTAACCAACTGACATCAATTAACTTTTAAAAAAATGTATTTACTGAGAAGGTATAACAAGGATAGAGGTTAAAAAGCATGCCCCCATACTGGAAGATTACTGGGGAAAGTGGACTCAAACTTATAGTGGTGGTTACAAAACATCTCCCTCAAATAGTGGAGGCACTTCCTGGCCCTGTAAATCCTTTCTCCCTTCTCTGAGTCTCTATCAAGTCTGCTTTTGGATTGGCATAGCCAATGGATACATCATCACTCCTTTGCTCAGCTCTTGGACATCACTGATGGGTTGGTCAAGTAGGTACATTCTTCAGGGACTGGAGCCTCAGTGGCTTCTCAAAAGGCATGGCTACTTCTGCTGCTGGCTCCAGGCCTTCATTTGTTGGAGGGACAGTGGGTGACTTTGATCTTTCTTCTAGTAACCACCTGGTTGCTCCCACTCAATGTACTCATTCACCTATGGATAGGAAAGAATAAATATAAAACAGATAAAAGAAACAGGCAGAGTGCATTCATAGACACTTAGAAATGGGTAAGGGAGACTGAGGGATAGAGATAGAACAGTCTGTCTCTCAATAAACTCATTTACCTATGAACTGGAAAGAATAAACATAGATGAGACAAAAGAAACAGGCAGGATGCATTTATAGACACTAAGCAATGGGTAAGGGAGACTGAGATAAAACAGTCTGTCTCTCCTCTGCCCAGGGGCACCCAGCAAACCTCTTTACCAGGAGAGAGTGAGAAATCATCCCTTGTACCTTTTGTATGTACACTTAATTCTAGCACAGCAGCCAATTACACAGCTTCATCACCAGGCAGTATGCTGACAGGAAATGGCCAAAAGATACTTATCCATGCTCTGAAGTGGGGGTAAGTGGTCCTCTAATGAGTATACACAGAAATAGATTCACAAAGCCTTCATGGATTGGAACTAGGCAAGGAATAAAGCATATGCTCTGAGGACTTAAGGTCCTATTACATCTGTAATGCACTTTTGTGCAGTATAGCTATTGGTTTTGGCAGGGACAGTATCTTATCTACACTTTTTATCTTATGCAGCATTTTCTGTACACGCGGTTCTGAACACAGAACACCCTTGCTTAATATGATTTTATTTTGGTCATTCTGAAGTTGACATACATAAATATTTCTACATAAACAGAATGAACAGAAAAACAAGGGATTGTACATGAAGCCATGAATATTACGTGTAGCTTGCATTTTTAAAAATCTAATACTAGTTTCAAAGCTATCATGCTTGTCTCCTTCTGAATCCTCTATTGCTTTTTGCTGTGCATTTTAAAGTGTTACATTGACCTCTTTTCCTTTTTAAAAAAATTTTTGGCATCAATATTGATAGTCTCCCTCTCCCTTCCAAATCTCTTTTTTTCCCCCATTAAAAATAATACCAATAACAACAACAACAAACCACCATTATAACAAATAAGTGTAGTCAGGAAAAATAAATCCAATCAAACCTTGGCAATGTCTGCAAATATGTGTCTTAATCTGACCTTGACTCCCCGATGTCTCTGACAGGGTTGAGTACCATGCCTCATCCTCAATCCTCTGGAGTCATGCTTGGTCATTACATTGATTGAAGTTCTTATGTCTTTCAAAGTTATAATTTTGTAGTTATTATATAAGTTGTTCTCCTGGTTCTGTTCACTTCACTCTGTATCAGTTCGCATGTCTTCCCAGATTTCTCTGAATCCATTTTTCATCATTTCTTATAGCACAATAATATTCCATTACACTCAGATAACATTATTCAGTCCTTCTGTATCTGGTGGGTACTTGTTAGTTTTTTATTCTTTACTTACAATAAGGTGCTGCTGTAAATTTTTTGTACATACGGGTTCTCTTCTTTCTCTGATCTCTTTGGGATATATTCCTAATGGTGGTATTGCTGGGTCAAAGGTTTAGTGCCCTCCTTTTCTTTTTTTTAATAGCTCCTAATTGACTTCTAAAATGTCTGGACCAATTGACAGTCCCACCAACAGTACGTTAGTGTGCCTGTACAGTAAGTTATTAATAAATATTTGCTATTGTTCATCAAGAACACTGATTTAGGAGTATGGGGACCTGGGTTCAAATCCTATCCTATCTCTTACTACCTGATGATCTCTCTGGACCTTGATTGCTTCAGCTGTGTATGAGGGGGTTGGATATTCATCTATGAAATGAATCAGAGAGTATCTAAGGTCCTTCCAGGCTTTAAATGATGATCTCATCATAAGGGAAGTTACTACATGTGACTTTGCGCATCTACCAAAACAAAGCATCAAATATAGTTAATTTATCCATTCACTATTTTAAATGACTTGTGGTGGTACATTTTTAAGTGAAAAATAAAAACAACCTAATTAAACTCCTGGATCACGAGCTTTATCCCTTATCTCAGTCTTTAGTGCCTGGGAGATACCCAAACCATGAAGGCAGTATGCCATAACTCAAGGCATCTAGTGAGTAAAGCCTGTCATCCCAGGCACAAGGCCTAGGAGGTGAAGCATCCTTTAAGGTGTAACTTTTGCAAATGCAGTTTGCTTTGATGATGACTAAAATCATAGATGTCGAGAGGTTTCTTTTTCCCAGGAGTTATTTTTAAAAGGCTGAAGGAAATTAGTTGAATCCATACTGTATTGTCAGAGTACTATTGCTGCATTGGAGAAGACTTTTACATCAGGAGAGACTTGATTATGGGAAAAGATCTTGACTTATGGTCCTTGACTACCTATCCCAAAGTACCAGAAAGACATTTGCTCCTCAGCCTCTGAAGGGATAATGATAGCTATAGTAAGAATGATCATAACAAGGTACTCATGTAATGCTTAAAGGTTTATAAAACCTTCATAACAACCTCATGAGGTCTATAGCACAAGTATTATGATGCCCATTTTATAAATAAGGAAACTGAAGCTATCAGAAATGAAGTGATTCGTTGATGGCCATATATAAAGATAGCACCCAAACTCAGATCTTCTGACTTCAAGTCATGCATCTTTACATTTTCCTAGGACAATATAATCTCCCAGGTTTATAACCTTGATGTTACCCTTGACTCCTCCCTTTCCTCTCCACGTACTCAGTCATTTTCCCAATCTTATTGTTTCCATATCCTTGGCATTTCTCACATGCATCTCCTCCTCTCCACTCACATAGCCACCATCTAAGTTTAGGCCCTCATCACCTCTTGCCTGGACTATTGCAGTAGCCTCTTAATTTGTCTCTTTGTCTTGGGTCTTTGCTCACTTTAGTCCATCCTCCATAAGGCTGTCAAAGTGATTTTCCTAAAATTTGGGTCTGACCATGTCTGTTCCCTAGTCAATAAACTCCAATGCCTCAGAGATCAAATATAAACCTTTCTGTTTTGTATCTAAAGCTCTTAACAGTCTGGACGTTTCTTATCTTTCCAGTATTCTTATACTTTATGTTTTTACATTTGCTCACTGGGTCAGCCTTACTGATCTGTTTAATGTTTCTCTCCTGTGATAGTCCATTATTCCATTTCTACATCTTTCCGCTGGCTATTCCCTAAGCAAGAAATACATTTCCTCCTTACCTCTGCTTATTGGGCTCCTCAATTTCCGTAGAGACTAAGTTCAGGCTCTACCTTTTACATTAAGCCTTTCTTGATTTCCTTCGTTTTGAGTCCACAGCCCTTCCAAAGCTACTTTGTATTAATATGATATCTATTCTGTTCTATAACTTCGAAGGGTATGTTTTTATATCCTCCTCTGCTAGAATGTAAGTTCGTTGAGGGCAGAGACTTTCACTTTTGTGTTTGTATATTCAGGGCTTAGCAGAATTCATGGCACATAGTAAGATCTTAATAAATTTTTGTTGATGAATTGGTGAAAATAACATGGCCCCAGGCTCATAGAAGCCCTGCTTAGAATAATGGGAATATAACAGGCTAATGTTGTGGAAGCAGTATGTCCAATAGTGGAAAGAATATTGGACTAGGAATTCATAAACATGGATTGAAATCCTAGTTCTGCCACTTCCTAGTCATGTGTCTTTAGACAAGTCCCTTAGCTGATTTAAACCTCAGTTTTGTTATCTATAAAATGGGGTAATAATACTTGTATGTGAAAGTACTTTGTAATAGTAAAGTATTATATAAATATGAACTGTTATTATTTTTATTGTAGAGATCATTTTAACATTCCTTGATGGTAGCACTGAAGGGGAATGGTATGACCAGGTTAGAAAATGAAAGTGAGTCAGTGTCTCTGAGGAGTTGTGGAATATTTTTCAGTGAGCTGATAACATACAAGTAAAGTTCTAAGTCATGATGAAGGTGTAATTAATGGAGTATTCAGTTATCTGCAAGGAAATAAAATATAAGCAAAATTTTTAGTTATCTTTTAAAACTAAGAAACTATAATTTTACTTGTAGATCAGCTCACATTAGTTCCTGAATCTTTTCTTCCAGTTTTTTGGCATCAGCACCACTGAATTCAAATATCTGTTCACAAATTTTAAAAAATAAAAAAAAAAGGTTAGCTCAATTATTTGCATGACAGGTAAGGTCTTGTTCAGGCTCTATTAGTGTTATCATTTTTGTTCCACATTGTATAATTAATGGATAGACCCCAATAATGTTCTCCTTCCCCTCACCATCTCACAAATTGAATTTTAATATCTGAAATGAAAGCTGATCTAGCACACAATGTATAGTTGGTAGCTTTTAAAAGAATACTTATCTGTATTCATTCCTTTATATTTGAATAATTTGCCTAAATGTTCCCCTAATCCAATAGGAAACTATGTATGAAGTGTTTGGAAATAAACTCCAATTCAACAGTTTTTTTTAAAATGCCTACTTATGCTAAATACTATGCTATTCTGAGGAGATATAAAAATGAAATAGGCCCTGCCCTCAAGGAGTTTACATTCTACTTGTCGTAGTAGATAAGCTAATATGAGGTAATGATAGGAAAGGCTTCCCACAGGAGTGGGCATCTTATCAGAGTCTTAGAAAGATAAGGGAGAGTCATAGGATTTGGATTTGAATCCGACTTCCACTATTTGCTGCTTGTGTAAATCATTTTATCTATCTGGGACTCAGTTTCTGCATCTGTAAAATGAGGGGATTAGATCAGATGACCTCTGAGGTCCCTTCTAGCTCTAAATCTGTGGTCATAGGATTCTCAGAGGTCAGGGTGAAGAGGGAATTCCAGGTGTTGAGAGGAGAATTAGAAGAAGGCCAGTTTGGCTGGAATATACAGGGAAAGAAGGAGAATAAAGCCAATGAGTCAACCCTATCAGAAGCACATTACCTGTTGGTATCATGGAGTCATTTAATCTTGAAAAAACATAAAACATAATCTCAGATTTCTCCCATCCCAGCTCTGCCTATTATAGGCTAAGACTATTTGTCCGATAACAGATCAACTCCTAGTATCAACATGATATGGGAGAGAGGTCAAGTCTTTCACAGTCAGGCAG